ACTCTCCCTGAATTCCCCCACCTTGCCCCCTCTCTCCCCTATTTCATGTTTCACCTGAAAACCTCCCCTTTTGACCGTGCTAACCTTTCCCCTACCCTCCCAATCAAAGAGTCAGGCTCCATCACTGATAAACACTCTGAGACGCTATTCTGTGTGAAGGGCGCTATATAAGTGCAAGTTGCTGTTGTAAATTCATGTCAGTGTTTAACAACTTTTTGATAATAATAAATAATAATCCTTGCATTTGGTAGAGCCCCTTATCACATGAGTTGTGATACGAGATGACTCAAAAGTGCTTCATAGGATTTACTGTAGAGTGATTGATAAGAGTATAGTGACTGTATTTTGTGGACCAATGCTGAAGCCTTCTTGGGCACAGCAACATACCACAAACAACCATGGAGCGAGTGAATGATTTATTTTATTGGGGAATTGTTGGCTGGAACACTGGGAGAAACTCCCTTCTCTTATATCTCTGATACCATAGATACCAGGCCTTGGTTTAACCATCCAAAAGACGGCACCTTCAACAATTCAGCACTCCCCAGCACTGCGTTGGAGTGTCAGTCTAGTCATGAATTCAGGGTCCCAACATGGTGCTTTGGACCCACAACCTTCTGGCTCAGACGCGAGAGTGCTACTAACTGAGCCAGGCTTACACTTAAACTATATTCAATGGATTTTTAAAAACTAACCAGTTTTTCACATGACAGGTTTAAAACACTCAAAACAACCCACAAACCTCTGGTGACTAACATGTATAAATCCTTGGCTTTTATGGAAACATAATTTCCCAACATTAAACATACCATTCACCTCTCTGTTTAGAAATTTTATTGATAATTTTCCCTCCCGCATATAATAAAACAGCAAAATTATCCTACATTAGACAAGTAGGCATATACACTAGCATAATTATATGGAAATAAAATAGGTTATTATAAAGCAAAGGTAGCAATCTGTTACTGCCTTTTGCCCATATCTTGTTGTGCAATAACAACAAAAATTACATTTAAAGAGCGCCTTTCATGTCGGGAGAACGTCCCAAGGCGCTGGACATTCAGGGGTCAGGACCCGAGCATGGGGAAGGGGCGGTGTAGGGGTGAGAGAAGGCAGAGAGGTGGGAGGGCGACCGAAAGCACGATCGAAGAGGAGGGTCTTGAGACCGGCCTCGAAGGAAGCAAGGGAGGAAGCGAGGCAAAGGGACTGTGGGATAGAGTTCCAGAGTGTGGGGCAGAGAGGCTGAAAGCCCGGCCACCGATGTGATAGGGCGGGTCTGGCAGGAGACTGGATCAGGCTGGAGCCTGCTGAATGGAGGGAGCGGGCAGGTTGGCAACAGGTTTGTATAGTTAAATTACTGAATACTTCCTTTCTCTGTCTTGGGCCCCTCTAAGAGATCTCTTCACTCACCTTCCCCTCTGAGAGTGAGCTTGTGGTAGCTGCCTGCCTCCAAATCCTGCTCTAAAATCAGCCTACCCCCTAGTGACCAAGTGTGGCAGTGATATCAAAACCAAGTCACACGTTCAATTCCCAGTCTGTGTTAAATTATAATAATCCTTACGTTTGATCTAGCATTGTAGCACATCGTCAAGATAGCTCAAAATACTTAAAAGGATTTTACTGTGAAATGTAGTGACTTATTGTTACTGTATTGTTCGAACGCGGCAGCCAAATTGCACACAGCAATGTCCCACAAATGTCCATGAATGACCAATTTATTAGCTGCACTTGGCTGAGGAGGAGGAGACTGAACTAGACTCTCCACTCCACGTCAGTATTAGGACAGCACCAGTAGGTAAGGACTCTTTGAATAAGGACAAGTTTGGCCAAGACTGTGATGCCCTGTCTGGTCACATACTCAGCTGACCTTGGGTGTTAAGGCACATAAAGGATAAGGAGATAGTGGTGCCAGGGCCCTGAACCTCAGCCGCTTCAAGAGGAAGGGGACAAATTGTCCAAAATAAGTGTGTTCTTCCGCATACCCATGTAGTTTACATCATTCAGACTCAGTGTGGTCCAACGGGTGGCCCTGTGGATGATTTCATCCGGCCCGAGACCATTTCTAACTTTGGGTTGTCCACTCCCTCCCTGCTTCCTTCCCAGTGAATAGTCTTCTAATAGGAGCAGCAGGAGACGTGTCTCCTTATCCACCACAGAGAGAGTAATTGGCAGAGAGAGAGTGTGAGGGAGAGAGAAAGAAACGGAGAGAGGGAGAAAGTAGAGTGATTGAGAGTGTGAGAGTGCGTGGGGGAGAGCAAGAAAGAGTAATTGAGAGAGGGAGAGGGATTGAGAGAGAGGGGAGAGTGATTGAGAGAGAGAGCATAAGGAAGAGGAGGAAAAAGAGAAACAAAGAAAGTGAGAGAAAGCAGAGAGAAAGAAGAGAGTTCGTTCCCTGCCTCCCCTTTCGAGGCTATAAGAACTAATTCTGACTAATCCTGTGTTGCTGGAGATGCTGATTATCTTTTCCCCTCCCCAACCCACCTCCCTTGGATCCCACCCCCAGCTCTGTTGCCCAGCTGGCAGTGTTGAGTGCTTTGAGATGTCCTTCAACCATAAAAAAGGCTTTGTTTATGTTTCTGGAATGGAAACACAAAAATATTTCTTATGTGGCACGTGGACCTTTCTCAAATAGGGAATCCAGCCCTCGGCAGCCAGAAGGTTAGACCACCCTGATTTAGATATAGATATTTAGATAAAATAGATTAAATGAATTGCATATTTAGGCTTTTAAGAATTCCTTTCAGATCAAACCGCAGGCTGCCAGCAACACAAATTTAAGGTACATATTACTCACAGTACATTAGGCATCCTTGGAAAGTAAGATTTGTCAATGCCAGCGCGATAGGAAGATTGTACAGTGTTTGGAAGTTAAGAAGGTGATTATTCAAAGATAGTAATCTCATTTGATATTGCGCTGTATCACATTGAATGGTCTCAAAGCGTTTCAAAACAAACCAAGTTACACCAACAAAGTCTCACAATCAGGAATGACTGAGTATTCTGGGTTTTGGTGGATTTGGATAAGAGACTGGCTGGAACATTGGGAAAACTGCCTGCTCCGCTCCCAAATAGTGCAATGCTATCGTTAACTTTCCCCGAAACAACCAGACAGGAAATATGGAACCTCAGTGTCATGTCTCCTCCATTAGGCATCCCCAGCACCACAGGAACACTGGACTGGAACAATACAGAGTTTGAGCTCAATTCTTGGCCCAGGGCTCACACCCACAATCATGTGACCCAGAAATGTGCCTGTCCCCAACTAATAGCAATAATAATCCTTGCATTTGATACAGCACCATTCACATTGGGAGGACATCTCAAAGGATTTTACTGTAAAGAACAGTGACTGCGTGTTTGTAGGTGAACTAAACACTAATTTAACATACTGTAAAGTGTAGTGACTATCCTCTAGATAAATTGGCCATTGCTTGTGGAATACTTATGCAAAACAGCATCCTACAAACGGCCATGTGATGAATGTCTGGATGATTGGGCAGGCCAGCAGGAGAAACTCCTTTGTCTTTTCAAATAGTGTTACTGGATCATTAACATCCACCTGACAAGCAGAGACGGGATCTTGGTTTAACATCTCATCCTCTCCCATCCCGCAATGCCTCCGTTGTTTTGGAATAATGCTCATTGTGTAGCTTCACGTGAGAACCATGGCCATTTGGACCTTTTGCTGGAAGGATCCCAGTCATCAGACCTGCACCCAAGCGTCACTGTCGCAATCCCAATTGGGGATAATAATATTTCTTGGATTTGACATAGCGTCTTATCATGTCTTTGAGACAACTCAAAGAGCTTCACAGGATATACCGTAAAGTGGATTGAGAGTATTTGTGGGACAGTGCACAGCAATGTCCCACAAACAGTCATGAAGTAAGTGGTCAAGTTTATTTGGGGTTTGTTGGAATAAACTCCCTTCTCTTTTCGAATAGCGCCGTGGGATCTTTAACATCCACCTGCTGAACAGGCAGCCATGACCTTATAAAATTCATCTGAAGGATGGCACCTACAACAATGCAACACCACTCCCAGCACTGATTGGAGTGTCATCTTAGACTATGTGTTTCCGACATGGGGCTTGACCCCACTAACTTCTGACTCAGAGGTGAGAGTGCTACCACTGATTCAGTGCCTTGGGATGTCCTCACGATGTAAAAGGCTCTATAAAATGTAAATATAATTTGTTGATGATTCAATTCCAGGATTTTGAGGCGTTTTTGCTGGCTTGTATCTAATATGTGTTCATCTAATTATTCCAATCTTTTCTTAAATTGTTTTCTATCTGTTCAGTCTCAGTTAAGTGTGAAAAGGTGTGAGTTCCTGGAGATGAGCCACTCTTACAATGAGATGTTGATAGTTTTATATCCCTGAGAGTTTAAAGGTTGATTACCAGAGAGTAATCATCTATCAGAGAAGGAATGTTCTGTCCTGTTCAGGCAATGGTTTGGGTTTTGACAAATGGAAGCGGCCCTGGAGCTCCAGCACAAGAGAGGAGCTGCTGTTTATTCCAAGGCAGAACCGTTGCTGTTGTTTAATGTTTCCTTGGTCTCTGGCTGTTTGTGCGATATAAAAGACCTGCTTGGAAACCATAATGCGCCTGACTTCTATCCTTCTACAGTTCCAAAAGCCTGTGAAAGGTGCTTCGCTTTCATATGGCAAGGTGACCCGAGCTGACCAACAGTGGGAGTCCTGTAGTGTTTAGGAGCACTTGCCTCACATACAAGAGGTCCTGGATTTGATTCCTAGGCAGGGTGGAACCTTAGGCAAGTTTCCTTACTCCACACACCATTGTTTATCTAGCAGTAAGTAGGAACCCGGTTGTTAGTCACTTTTTCAGGGGTAATAATCCCTTATTTTTTAATAAATACAAAATAATAATGAATTTGGTCACTCAATCCATGACTGTGTGCAATTGGCTGCCCACAAAAAATATAGTCAATTCACTTTACGGTATATTCTGTGAAGTGCTTTGAGCCGTCACGAAGACCTGATAAGGCACTGTATCAAATGCAAGATTATTAATATTATGATAAACATAAACTGGTCCCAACCTTCCCTGAGAGACGAGGAGATAGCAGTTGCTATTATGCAAGAAAGAAAGCCGAGTTCAAAAAGGAGAGAAGGGGAAAGAGCACAAATTCTCATCTTCCTGTGCTCATTTCTCCCGGCACTGGGGCCCACTCCAGCCCTTGTAGCATTGGCATGTGAACTCCCTGCTCATCTTCAGCAAGTCTTCAGTGTGCAGCTCTCCCTGTGATCTCAGCTGGGGTCCGGGGAAGCCAGGGACAGATAGTACCTGGAAGGATGATGGATTGAGGTGCAGGTAGGTCCGAGAGCTGGGGTCCTGGCGCACACAACGCCCGTGCCCATCACACAGAGCCTCACTGCACAGCAAGGCGGCCATGGTCGTGTTCACAACGTATCGGCCGAGCCGATGGTCAATATAATTCTTCAGCTCCTCACATCCGTCCTGAGAGAATGCAAAAACAAATCAGGGCGCAGCTCAGCTCTCTGGGGAAAGTTCACATGGCTTAAAAATGAAATTGTTTAGCAGAGCAGATAATGTAAATAATAATCCTTGCATTTGATACAGTGCCTATCATGCACTTTTAGATGTTACATCTAAATCATTACAAAGTGCAGTGACTTTGCCTTTGAAGATAAAAGTAGCAGCCATTTTGCACACAGCAAGGTCCTACAAGCAATGACAAGCAATTCATCTGGAGAATTGGTGGCCAGTTGTTGAACTGTGTCAATTGGATGTTTAATATCTACATGAAAAGAGAGGCAGGAACTCAGTTTGATATCACGTTCAAAGAATGGCTCTTTTGGCAATGCAGCGCTCCTCAATACTGCACTGGAGTATCATCTTAGACTGTGAACTAAAATCCTGACATGGTGCTCAAGCCCACAACATTCTGACATGGAAGTGTGTGTGCCACTAACCAAGCTAGAAATGCTATAACAATTCTCCCACCCAATGAAGCCGGTATCCCTCTGAAACAGGGCCTTATCACCTTCTGACAATGAAGCCTCTTAGTGAGTGTCAGCCTGGCTCAGTCAATTCAATCACATATTGGGATTTGGAACCCATATAGTCTCCTCTTATATGCTAATGCAGTGCTGGGGTGTGCTACATTGTGGAAGGTGCCATCCTTGAGACGAAACATTCAACTGAGGTCCTGTCTTCCTATCCAGGTAGACATTAATGATCCCACGGGGCTGTTCTATGATTATTATCCATACATTTGATATAGCGCCTTATCACGTCATTGAAATGTCTCTAAGTGCTTTACAGAATATACAGGAATATACAGGAGTTTCTCCTGGTGTTCTGATCAACAATGTCCCAGATAAACTTTGTTTTTCAGTTTATGGCTGTTTGTGGAACACTGCTGTATGAAAATTGACTGCCATGTTTGCCTACAGAAAACAAAGTCACTCCAAGTTACAGTGAATCCTGTGAAGTGCTTTGTTTAACAGCTGCTGCTGTCGCTTGTTACGTCACAACCCCTGACCACTGAACCTTGCCCAGTCAGTATAATCCATGTGCAGTGGAGATACCGACCTTCGTTCGTGGGAACTCCATGTCCCCCCAGAGGACCACTCCAGAAGCCCCAAGGGCTGCACTCTCCCCTAGAGTGTGAACTAAATCAATCTAAATAAGAATAAAACAGCTGTTAATTGCATATTCCACAGGACATTCAAACAACAACAATCTACATTTACAGCACCTTTTGTGGTGAGGGAATGTTTCAAAGCGTATCATTGATTACTTACCTGCAACTGGCAAAATGAGATTTATCAGGATGGTACTAAGGGTCTTCAGTTATGAAGCTATAGAAGCTAGGATTATTCTCCTTGGAGCTGAGAAGGTTAATGTGAGACTTACTAGAAGTTTTCAAAATTATGAGGGGATTCGATACGGTGAACAAGGAGAAACTATTTCCATTGGTGGGTGGGTCGATAACCCGAGAACACCAATTTAAAATAGTTGGGACGTTCTCCTGACGTGAAAGGCGCTATACAAATGTAATCTTGTTGTTAAAAGAAACAGAGGGGAGGTGAAGAGAAATTTGTTCACACAGTGAGTGAACTGGCTCTGGAACTCCATCCCCCAGTGCCTTCGCCTTGCTTCCTCCCTTTCCTCCTTCAAGGCCGGTCTCAAAACCTTTCTCTTTGACCGTGCCTTCAGCTCCCCTCTCGACTCTCTTCCCCCTCCTCGCTCCCTCCCTTCCCTCCCCTCACCATTTCCCCCCTCCTCGCTCCCTCCTTCCCTCCCCTCACCCTGACCATTTCCCCCCAATGCTCGGGTCATGACCCAACTGTGCAGCGCCTTGGGACTCCTCCTGACGTGAAAGGCGCTTTATAAATGGAATCTTGTTGTTGTTGTTGTTGTTGTTGAGTGTTCAGATCTGGAATGGATTGCCTGAAAGGTGGTGGAAGACAATTCGATACAACTTAAAGGAGAGAAGTAAATAATTATTTGGGGAGCACAAGTTTGTAGGACTATGGGGAGAGCGCGAGGAGAGTGGGGGAGTGGGATTGCTTTGGATAGCTCTTTTCAAAGAGCCGGCCCAGACACGATGGGCCGAATGGCCTTCTTATGTGCTGTATAATTCTATGAGTAGCAATCCTACTCCTCTTGTCCTCTCTCCATATCCTTACAAATTTGTTCTCCCTATGAATGATGAAAGAGGAAGATCCGACAGAACAGTATCATTATTGAGTGCAATAGAAACCGAAGCCAGTTGCACAAAGTATTTCATGCACCTCGAAATAAAAATATAAACTTTATTGTTTAAACTGTGATAAAGATCGCTCCTTCCTCTGGTTTTTATTGAGCATGTGCGAGATGCCACCCAGTGGCAATCGACCGCTTGGCGACCCCTGCCTGAAAAGATTTGTGTACAAACTAATTGCTAGCAGCGCACCCAATAAAAGCTACCCCGGCGAAGAGGCTGGGTGCCGGCTCCGTGTTAATGCTGCTTGAATGAGAGCGCTGCAATGTCTTGACGTGAAAGGCATTGTAAATGTTAATGTGTATTTATTACTCACCTCTGTAAGGAAGTCAAATGTTTTTGCGTAGGTGTATCTGGCGTAGGGCAAAACTGGCAGGGACTTGCTTAATGATTCCAGGGTAGCGACTCGAAGAGCTTCCTTGATCTTGTAGTGAACAAATTTGCGAGCATTGTCTGAGGACCTGAATATTTTATTAAGGTAAATACTGGGATAGAGAGCGTGAGAGGCCTCCCACAGCCATGTCAGCTGATTGTTTCTTGGGACATCTTCCTTATGGCACTGCCCTGTGTATTTGGTTAGTGGCTCCTCATGATAGTAGTTATAACAATCTGGGAATTTGTAAAAGCCCCAGAGACCCATTGATCTTAGTTTCCATCCTTGTCTAAGTGTTTCTTGCATAAAATTCTGGGCAGCAGTTTCATAGTTACTTTTGGCAATCTGGAAAACCAGCCATTCAGGAAAATAGGGATGTTTGCTTCTCACCAGCTCTTCAGACTTTTGCTTGTAGATGTCCATGTCACCCCAGTTGCGGTCCCAGAGTGGTCGCCACTCTTCCCAATCTATCACTGCTAGTCCGTGGAAGTTGTGGTCCAGCAGGTTCTGGATGTCCTTGCTGGCCTGCTGGAGGTGCTGGTGCAGACTAGCATTCTGTACCACGCCACCATGCACTGCGGTTCCAGTGTCAGTGTAATACGGGTAGAGGCCCAACTTGTTCTGGTAGAATATGGTTATGTTCTTGCCGACAAATCTCTCGTTTTGGTTTTCAATAATATCGAAAGCGCGCAAATCCAGGTCAATGTTAAATTTCTTCTTACAGTTCTCGGTGGGTGTATTCCAGACCACAATGAAAGGTCTGTTCTGAATGATTGGTGAAGGTGAGACAACTTTTCCTTTTCTCCCCAAATAACAGAATGGGTAGACAGGTAAAATGCGGTACAAGTGAGCAGTGCAAGACCTGAAACCATGACTCTTGAGCTCCTTTCAGAGTGCAATGAAGATCTTAAGATCACGAGGTACACTCCGGGATCCTTCTGCAGAACACAACTCACATTAAGTGTGTTTGACAAGTACAGTAATATCGCACATTAAAAGTGTCTCACACATTGGAAATGCTCTTAACACTAGAAAAATGGAAGGTCCACAACTGTTTTGATGGCAACTGTCAGTCTAATCAACAACCATTTGCTTTTAGATACAGTCACACTACACTTCACAGTAAAATATCTAGTCACAATTCACAGTAAAATCCTGTGCAGCCTTTGAGATGTCTCGACGTGATAAGCATTGTATTCAAGGATTATAATTATTATAGATATTAAAAGCCATTTCCCATTTAAGTGGGAAGGGTTTGACATTGCATTTATGTATGAGCAAATAGGTACTTTTAATTATTCAACCCCTTGGCTCAGAAACAGTAGGCCATTTAGCCCATCTTGCCTGTTGTGAATTTATTGGACTGTGAAGGTCTTTTAATCCCATTTCCCCATCTTTTCTCCCTTCCTGTTTGTCATGCTACAGCTCACTGTGGATCACCAGTGTGGAAGCTGAATTAATGCACTGATTGTACTGGTTGATTGTGGTGCCTCCCAGTATGCTCATCCTCTGTGGAACAACAACAACAACAAAATTACATTTGTATAGCGTCTTTCAAGTCAGGAGGACATCCCAAGATGCTGAACAGCCCAACCAATCCAATATAATTTGGGTCAAGTGTTCAGTGCCTAATGTCAAATTGTTCACTGGACCGGACAGAACAGGAGTATTCATTATATAGCTTGTGGGCCCACTGAGGCCATAGAACTCCTAATTTTTCATTCATCAGATAATAATAATTATCCTTACTTTTGATATAACACCTTTTACATTGGGAAGATGTCTTAATGCGCTTCACAGGATTTCCTGTAATGTGTAGCGACTGTGTTTCATGGGCAAATGCGGAAGCAGACATTTAACGCCTCATCTGAAAAATGGCATTTCCAACAATGGAGTGTTCTCCTAGTGCTGCATTGGAGTATCAGCATGGATCACATGAGTTTAAAGTCCCAACGTGGGACATGAACTCACGAACCTTCAGATTCAGGGATGAAAATAATAATAATCCTTGCATTTGATATAGCACCTTATCACATATTCAAGACAACAACAAAACAATTACATTTGTATAGACTTCTCAAAGTGCTTCGCAGAATATCCTGCAAAGTGAATTGACTGTAAATTTTGTGGGCAAAACACGGCAGCCAATTGCTCACAACAGTGCCCCACAAACAACAACTTGCATTTATACAGCACCCCACGTGGTAGGAACTTCCCAAAGCACTTGACAGTGGCGGAGCATGATGCTGAGGCGGGGGGAGGGGATGGTGAACATATCTGAGATAAGGTATGGTCGGAGGTAGGAAATGTGGCGGAGGTGGAGGAAGGCAATCCTAGTCAGGGACCAGATGTGGGGAAGGAAGGGAAGCTATGGGTCGAACTGATGCCTAGGTTGTGCACTGGTTCAGTAAGTTTGGGGGATAGGCCAAGGAAGTTGAAGTGAGAACCTCAGGATAGAAAGCATTGACAGGAGTCAATGAGTATGGCTTCCATCTTGTCAATGTTTAGTTGTAAGAAGTTTTCGCTCATCTAGGCCCTGGTGTCCGGCAGACAAGCCGAGAGAATATCGGTGAACCTGGAGTCGCAGCTGGAGGAGAAGTAGATTTCTGTGTCATCCGTGTACATGTGGTTTGAGTGACCCAATTTTTTTTAAAAGGGATTATTATCCCAGGAAAAGCGATCCACCAATCTACGAACAACCAGGTTCCTACTTACTGCTAAGTAAACAGAGCTGTATAGGGTAAGGTTGCGCCCTGCCTGGGAATTGAACTCAGGTCCTTTTGCTTGCGAGGCGAGCCCTCTAACCCCTATGGTACAGGACCTCACAATGCTGCTGACTGAGCCCGGCTGACACGATTCATTTTTCTTTGAAGTCTTGCTTGTGTTCCCCTCTAATATGCATTCGTCCTGCAATCCTGATTTGGAGCACCAGCCAATCCTGCTCCATTTGATGAGTACAATCAAATTCGGTATTGCATTGACATTAGAAGCTACAGGGACATTTTTTAATTGATGAACATAGGATCTCAGCTGTGATTTATAAAAATACAGATAGACAAGGTCCGCTGAAGCATAGTAAGATGAGTCTCTCTGGCTCTACGGTGATGCACCTGGTAAAAAGAAGAGCTTTCTGTGGTGCACTTGGTGACCAAATACCTGAGCTAGTCTGCTCCACGTTACTCCCGAGCACTGTTGATGATTATAATAATAATCCTTACATTTGATATAGCACCTTATCACATTGAGATGTCTCAAAGCACTTTGAAGAATATACTGTAAAGTGGATTGACTGTGTTTTTTGGATGAAACACGGAGGTCAACTGAACACAGCAGTGTCCCAAAACAGCCATGGAGTGAGTGTCCAATTTTATTTGCTCCACTACTCGCGGACATCATTAACCTCGCCCTGTCATCTGGCACTGTTCCTTCCCCGCTCAAAACAGCCATGATCACCCCCGCCCTGAAGAAATCTTCCCTCAACCCGTCACAGCTATCTAGCTACCGGCCCATCTCAAACCTCCTTTTCTATCCAAGGTCCTCAAGAAAGCCATTGCCTCCCAGCTTCACTCTTTCCTCTCCTCTCACTCCCTCCATGAACCCCTCCAATCGGGTTTCGGTGCTGCCCACAGCACAGAAACTGCTCTGGTCAAGGTCACAAATGACATCCTGACCATGTGTGACCAGGGCTCCCTCCGCTTCCTTGTCCTCCACCGCCTCTCCTCCCACCTCAACCTTCAAGGCTCTGTCCTTGACTGGTTTAGGTCCTACCTTTCACACCATCTCCATTCCGTTACGGCAAACGGCTTCTTCTCCAGCCCCCACACTGTCTCATGCAGTGTTCCTCAGGGCTCTGTCCTCAGTCCCCTCCTCTTCACCCTCTACATGCTCCCCTTGGTGACGTCATCCACAGACATGGGGTAAATTTCCATATGTATGCATGCGGATGACACCCAACTCTACCTCTCTGCCTCCACCCTTAACTCCAGGACTACTGTCGTCCTGACCGACTGCCTGTCCGACATCAAGTCCTGGACGAGGGCCAACTTTCTCCAACTCAACGTCAGCAAGGCCGAGTCCCTCCTGATTGGCTTGTGCCAACGCCTCCACACTTCGGGCGCTGGCAGCCTCAGCCTCCATAGCTGCACACTCAACCTCTGTAAGCCAGTCAGGAACTTGGGTGTCTTGTTTGACCCTGAACTGTCCTTTCTCCCCCACATCCGCGCCATGACTGGCACTGCCTACCACCACCTCTGCAACATTGCCAGACTCTGCTACTGCCTCACCCCTCAGGCTGCTGAAACTCACATCCACGCATTTGTCACCTCAAGGCTTGATTACGGGAACTCCCTCTTCATCAGCCTTCCCAACTCTTCCCTTCACAAGCTGCAGATCATTCAAAACTCTGTAGCTCATGTACTTTCACGCACCAGGCTTCGTGACTCCATCACTCCCACCCTCGCCTGACTCCACTGGCTCCCCATCCCCCAGAGGATCGAGTTCAAGATCCTCGTCCTCACCTTTAAGGCCTCCTACCTCTCTGACCTGCTGACTCCATACGAGCCTGCCCGCTCCCTCCGTTCATCGGGCTCCGGTCTGCTCCATGTCTCCCACCTGACCTGCCCTACGATCGGTGGCCGGGCTTTCAGCCTCTCTACCCTCACACTCTGGAACTCCATCCCATGGTCCCTTCTCATCGCTTGCTCCCTTGCCTCCTTCAAGGTCGGTCTCAAGACCTTTCTCTTCGACCGTACTTTGGTCTCCCTCCCACCTCTCTGCCTTCCCTCACCCCTTCCCAAATACGTTCCTACAAAGGGGAATGGTAGGGTATCCAAACCTCCCTGGATGACTAAGGAAATTGGGATTAAAATAAAACAGAAAATGGAGCCTTATGATAAATGTCAGTGTCCAAAATACAGAAGATAATCAAATAGAATATAGAAAGTACAGAGGAAATAAAGGAAATTAAAAAAAAGGAAATAAAAGGGGCAAAGAGATTGTATGAGAAAAGATTAGTGGGTAACATAAAAGGGAACCTTAAGGTATTTTATAAGCATATAAAGAATAAAAGGTTAGTCATAGGTAGGGTGGGGCCAATTAGGGACCAAAGAGGAAATCTCCTTGTGGAGGCAGCAGGCTGAATGAGTACTTTGCATCCGTCTTCACAAAAGAAAAGGATGCAGCCAATGCCACAGTATCGGAGAAGAGGGTAGAGAAATTGGATAAGAATAAACCAAGAGGTGGTACTGAAAAGGGTGTCGGTGCTCAAGGTAGATAAGTCACCCTGTCTGGAAGGGATACATCCTAGGTTACTGAGGGAAGTAAGGCTGGAAAAAAGGAGGCTTTGGTCACAATCTTTCAATCCTCCTTGGACACCGGGATGGTGCCAGAGAACTGGAGGGTTGCAAATTTTACTCCCCTGTACAAAAAGGGGCAGAAGGATAAACCCGGGATCTATTCACATTTTCAAGACTGAGGTGGATAGATATTTGTTAGGTCAGGGTATCAAGGGATATGGGGCAAAGGTGGGTAATTGGAGTTGAGGTAGAGATCAGCCATGATCTTATAGAATGGTGGGACAGGCTCGAGGGGCGGAATGGCCTATTCCTGTTGCTATGAGATCCCTCATCTTAATATAAACAAAATAAAGTTTTCTTATTTTTAAAACTTATTTCAAAATGGGATGAACTGTTCAGTCCATCACACGCGATTTTTTGAATATCAATGGCAGGAGTCAGTCTTTCAGAGCAGGCTGGTTCTTATACGGTCTGATGCATCGCTAATACTCACCTCATCGCAGATATAAATATTTGCTTGTTCGTCCTCGTAAGTGACTTGTATCTTTATGAGTGACGTGCAGTGTACTTACCCTCTCCTTCCTCTGAGCTCAGCACCCAGCCTGCTACTGTGAAACGATTTGAGACATCATCCTATGTGAGGATGCTGTCTAAATGCAATATGTTGTAAACTCAGTAAATCTGCTTTGCTGCTGAGGTCTTCTGTACGATTGATGAAGACTACAATATTTGGTGATTTTCCTATCTCACATTATGCAGAGCTTGTCGGCTTTGAGAGCGTGGGAGGGACTGAGGGAGGATGATAAAGCTTTTTATATTTTAGTCGTTGAGTCAATTTATTGCTCTAATAGGATATATATACGGCAGGAGGAGAGGTGCAACACCACCACCAAAATGACATTTGTATAGTGCCTTTCACATTGGGAGGATGTCAGTGTTTCGGATCTGGGGTTCAGGATTGGGGAGGGCAGGGAGGGAAGTAGGGAGATCAAAAGCACGGTCAAAGAGGAGGGTCTTGAGAGGGTCTTGAAGGAGGCAAGGGAGGGGGCAAGGCAGATGGACAGCGGAATGGAGTTCTAGAGGGTGGGGGCGGAGTGGTAGAAGGCCCGCCCGCTAATGGTGGGACGGGCGAGGCGGGGGACGTGAAGCAGGCCAGAGCTGAGCGGAAGGGAGCAGGCAGGATGCTAGGGGGGTTAGGAGGTCACACAGGTA